CACTTTGGTGGGAAGGTAAACGGCATTCCATGTCTAGTCACGCTGGCCATGTGACCACGGAGGAACCTTTACCTTTTTTTTTACCCTCATAGATGTCTATATTTACAGTATGCGCCTGTTTAGTAATTAGACTATTTCAATTAGTAGCAATTTACACAGTACTTCAAAACAAATAGCCTTAATTCTTTCTCCAGTAGTTTGCTAGTTCACCTAGTTACAGGAGTGAACTTCAGAGTTCAAACATCTTCTCAAGATAAACATGACAACTCTGTGTCTCTGCTTATAAGCAGAAATCAGTCTCTAGCTATGGGTGAAAACATTTACCAGAGTAAGCTGATGGTTTTTGCTTCCAAGTTACTCAAAGCTTAATCAGGTACCTGCAGCACCTATGATTGGCTAACTCACTCAACCTGCAGTCTCTGTTTTGAGGATCAGTCTCAATGGCAGACCTCACGGCCACAATATCTGCTCTAATTTTTCAACTTTCTGCTACTTCATGGCTTGATGAGTTCCTGAGAACTCAAAACTTGCATGTTCTTTTGTGGCATTTTAGTTAGTCTAAATAAAAATATTGTACCAACAGTGGAGTCTTACTCTCAAGAGTCATTAGTCTATGTTAGACATTGTGTGTTCTGGCTATGAAGCAAAAGTGTTAGAAAGTATGTATTAGAACAACATAAAATATCGTAAAACATTAAAAAATAGTAATAGTATATGTGGAGCTCTTAATAACAAAGACCCTAAAGGCTGCAAATTAAAATGAGACCAGAAAATGGTATTACAGACCCAGGCAGAACGCACCTAATGTAATGTGAAACTAGTGTTAAATGACTGTGTTAACAATTGCCAATGATGTATGCCTTGTTTTCAGAGATCTCTAAAACCAGCAGTAGTTTAATTATATACAACCTTTTACACTAAAAATAATGTGCATTGGCTTTCTGTTTGAACCTGAGAGTGTTTCTTTTTCATATATCAAATACAACAAAAGCACTGTACAACAAAGGGACCAGATCTAGATTAATATGATTTCTTTCCATAGAGGGAATTAGTACTGGACTTGAGATTTGAAAGTCAAATCTATTTTACCATATGCTAGAGACAGACACAGCTTTAGTTTTTTTAAAAACACACACATGATAGGTTTCAGATAAATGTTACCTTTAGAATTTGAGTCTATATTTTACACGTGAATTTCTGCTTCAGTAACTACAATAAGGTCTTCATATGATGTGGACTATCACCAACTGAATGAGAATACAGTACATTGGTTAAATTGCAATCTGTCAATAAATGCTGAACAAAGATAATGGTTTCTTAGCACTGTTCCTGTATTAACATGCTACTTAGTGCTCATGATAACGGTTCTGCATATTCTCTGGGGTTTCAGTAAGAAACCTTTAATTGTTTTACAATGTGAAATAACAGCAAAGCAGAATGAAAATGAGACAGCACCAGATACAGATTCTCACCACACCATGTAGTGCCAGGATGCTTATGTTAATATAATTGCTACCAGTGGTAATTCTGCATTTAAATTAGGTCTCACACCTGAATTATTCTCTCTGAAACTGTATGTATTGTCACTATATTTGGAGATAAATTTGAGGTACTGCTGTTGGGTGATTTGTCTGTCCAGCTGAATCATGTTCAATGTGTTTTAGAAAAAGCTCTGTTTACCCTAAAATGCAGGTTGGTAACCCCAGCACATTTGAGTGCCAATTTCCCCCTATCCACATTTGGGTATTAAAGTGGGTCAAACACTGTGGGTGATCACGGAACAAAGGAAGGCAATTAGCCTTAGAGAAAGTACAAAGGAGTCGACAAGCAGATGTCGAAGCCAGCGGAGCCTCAAGGCAATGCCCTAAGAACTCTTTTTATTGACTTAGCATGAGTTACATAGTATATTGTGAGAATTCAGATAGGATACTAGTTACCTAATCACCACTAGGATTGGTTGAAGAAACTCTTTGATCTAATGCTCTACCTCTAAGCAAAAGGGCAGAACGAGTGTATGCACGTCACTGGAACAGAATGTAGCTACAACCTTAGGCAGAAGTTTCCCACAAAACACCACACAAAATGTTTTAGTAAACAAAACCCCAAAGTTAACTTTTTCTGTTTGCTGAATGAAATGGCACCTCCACCCCAACCCCAAACCCCAAAATACCCTTTTGCTCTAGCACCTTACACCCTACTTTAGGGGAGAGCTGCTACTCCTGGAGGCTTTGATGAATGCAATCTCTTTTTAAATGATTAAAAAAAACAGTAGGAATATATTCAGCTGCATCATTGAAACAGGGTGATTAGAGCACAGACAATGTGGCGCCCCAGATACTGTTGGACTCGAACATCCTTCTGTTCCATCTAATGCTCAAGGATATGGTTGCCAGGTCAGCAGCAGTTATTGCCTAAGATTTGAGGGCCAAAACCTGAAACTAGAAGCTGGGTCCTTGAGATAACATAAAAGGAAGAAAGGTAAGACTTGGGCAGGGACTGGAACTGTTTCTGGTCCAGTGGATTGTGGAAATTGACATGAGAGGAATCTGGGTAAAAGGACTGCAAATCCAGCTGAAGCTCTTAAGCAGCTAATACTGTATGGAGACCCAGATCTTTTTGGCAAAACGACTGGCAGTAACATGCATTTAGCAGCTAAAATGTTACCTGCCATCTAGCTTATTTGTACGCCAACATTGCATAAGCACACATGCAGACAGCTTTGCACTAAGTCCGTGAGCCCTTCTGGCAGCTGGGAATGGGCAGAAATTGGTGGCCAGACTTCAAAGCCACCTCCAAAATCACTCAAGCTGCCATTTGTCTTCCCACTTAGAAAGCCAGAGAATTATAGCAGTTCTCTGAAACGTCAACTGGCAGTCTTGAGACCTTGTACGTCTATTCAAGGATGGTGAAAGCTATCATTCAAAAAGTGTAGAGGGGATTTGGAGCAGGGAAGAAAGAGCAATGCTGATCATCAGGATGCTGTTAGCCCTTTTGGTTTTATAGATATCCTCTATCATCTGAACAGTGTTGGCTGATTCCTCATAATTTATTACAAGGTAATAAAGTTTCAGTTATAAAATAAAGTACCACTTGCCTTCTAAAAACTTGCTTAGATCTTCTGATAGCATTATATGGCGCTCAAAGTATGCAGCAGATTATTCTGTAGTTTTGGGGCCATTACTAACATTATACTCCTACCAGCTGGCTAATGGTAAGCATAACAGGCTACAGTAGGACTGTGATATCCATGGGGATTGGTTCCAAGATCACTCGTGGATTCTAAAAACCACAAATAACAGTCTCCCATATTTATTTATTTATTTATTTATCAACAAATAATAGTCTCCCATATATACAGGATTGTATCTGGTTCCTTTTAATGGCCAGTTCTGGTAACATCATCATGGAAATTGATATTTCTGGGTTTTTTTTAATTTAATATCTTTAACATTTTCAGACTGTGGATAAGTGAAACTATGGATACTGATCCCATCGATAAGGGGTCCCTACTGTATTCTTTGTTAATCTTATATAAATCAATGAGATGTTTCTGGAACATGCTCTTACAAATCATTTCACTGAACCTTTAAAATTGGCTCCCTTCCAAGCAGGCTTCACATGTTTTAAAAGCATTAATGGATCACAGACTTCACAGTGATCAACTGATGGGTAGATGTTCCTACAGCATGCAGTCAAGTGGCACCACCCCTGCAGGCCTCCCTATCTTCAGACAGGTTATGTAATTGCTGCTAACATCAGCTTATCATCCATGTTTGTGTTTGTATTTCTCCTGGCTGCATTGTTTTCTGTCTCCCCACCTACACCTACCCACCATCACCTATTATGTAATAGAATGTTTCAAATGGGCATATTCAGTGTACTGATGAACAGAAACAAGAACCGTGAGCCCTTAATAGAGAACATTTACTCATTGGTTAGCATTGCAACATTTAGCCCATGTTTCGTTGGGTTTTTTAAAGCACATTTTTACAAAAATTGAATAAGCTGTAACTGTAGTTAAGTACTCTAAATTCAGACCAACACCCACCAACTGGTGTGTTTAAAAACAGAAATAGATCTAGTTTTTAATGGGTTGGATTCAAATTTAGATGCAAATAAGTGATCTGTAGTCCCATGGCAGCCTTTCCAACCTATTGCTCAGTTATGAAAGGGTGAGAACTCAGAAGCAAAGCAAAAGGTGTGCATGCCCAAGTTTAGATTCACACCTGAAAGTCTTGAAGGCTGCTGCATGTCAGTTTTGAGAATACTGGGCAATATGGTCTAATGTTCTGACCCAGCAGCAGCTTGCAGCTTCCTCTATTCTTCTTTTGCGGGACTCTCTGTACATCAGGGCCAACCCTATTCAACCCGCTCCTGGTCTTTTGTGCTGGATGTGTAAGGGAGGGGAGGAGGCTGGCAGGGAAGTCCATTTCTCCCATACCAGCCCCACGCTGCTACATCTGGATCTAACCTGATATTTTCTTCTTATTTTAAAATTTTAATGATCACAGCCAGGACTTAATGTTTATCTCCTGCCCTTGCCTAGTCACACAACATCCCTTCAGAGCAATCTTGCTTTGGTGTTGCAAACTTCTCCAGAAAAGGGAAACTAGGGAACCTAGCTGAGCAAATTTCCAAAAAATCAGGGGAAATGATTCTTTGGGGAACCCTGGGAAAATGGGAAAGAGCTATAAGCCATGCTTGTTCCATGACAGACAGGGAAGGTTTATAAATGTTTAATAAAGTTTGCTGTGGATGCGATCCAATTAATAAGCTCGAGTGGCCAGAGAGACAGGTATTGTGTTCGTTACTATAGCATCACCTAGCTAGCATAGGATATGTGTGAGAGGAGCCGTGGAGGAAAACCGGGAGAGAAGATGAGCGAGTTACAGAGTTGTTCGGTGTGATGCACAGGCTGAACACACCAGGTCCAGCGTTAATAATCTCTAGGTGTATCCCTGTGCATTAACCTCTCCATCTCAAGATAGACAGTTGTGGAACAACAATAGATGCAAAATACAGCAGCCGTTTCTGCTTGAACTATTGGCAGTGGTTGAGAGGCTCTACTGAAAATTTCACACTCTTAAAATATTTTGGAGAATTAACAGTCATACCTGCTGGATCATATGGTCACAATCCTTAGGATAAAGAGAAAGGAAAATTAAAAACAGAACACAGAAGAAGACTACTAAAATCTGGGGGAAACTGATGATGAGAGCAAGCAAATATTACGTTAAAGGATTTATTTAAATAAGGAAGACAAGATGCCTTTTGAGGTGTTCAATACATTGAAGGAGAGGTTTTTGAAGCCTGGGAAAGAAGTGAAGAATACAGTAAGCGACTCACTGGGACACTTGCAAAGGTAATAGTCTGATCTAAACTTCCAGGAAAGAGTAAAATGAAATAATGTTTTGAGCAATTTATATGAAAGAGAAAGCTAGGGACATATGGGTAAAGCAAACTATGTAGAGACCTGTACCAAATTGACAGTGCAGTAGCTCTAAAAAACTGTGTAGTATATATGCTTCTAAACCCGGTGAGAATTTTGAAATAGGCCATAGTTCTAAAGTTCTAAACATGCTTTTTGTTGTTGAATATGTTTGTGTAAAATAATACCTCAAGAAAGGCATTATAGACTCTAAGAGTGTACAATGTTCATGTGACATGTAGTTCCACTATTTTTAAAGAATAATATTAAGTATGTAACACATAGGCCAAAAGTTGTTGTATATGCTATTTTAAATTACGAGCAGCTAAAATTATATATATATCAGTAGACTGGTGTGGCCATGAATGAGATTTGCACTCAGCTCTGTGTCTGTGGGTCTCAGCACAAGTGTGCGTACTTTGCAGCATGCATTGTTATAAATACAAGGCTCTTCGTTTATCAAGATTATGACTGTTTCTACAATATTCTCGAAAGACAGGAACCATTTAACATCTCAAAAGAAATGAATCATCCATGACATGTGAGCGGATAAAAGTTTTCACAATATTCATCTTATGTTTCAGAGCCACCAGATAATTTGTAAGTCAGTTGAAGAAAAATAAACCACAATCTCCTGGCACTTTAAAATACTAACAATTTTATCATTCAGCTCCCAGAAAACAATACTGTACAGGTTTTGTAGTCAGATGGTTCAAGGTGGTAGGAGAGCAATAGCAAGTAATCCATTGATTACAAGTTTTGGTTTATTGTTTTATTTTGGTATCTTGCATTTCCACAAAACTTAACATAGTATTAACCCTATAGTAAGTTAATACTTACCTTGCTTTTTTATATACTGCTTTTATGCTGTCCCTGACAAGATGTCTTTTGAGTAGCTTGCAAATTTATCCAAGATCTCTAACGGCTCTAATATGTAGTATGGAGACACTTCAGCACACTATCGTGTTGTTATACATTTAAACTGCAATCCTGTGCAGACTTATCAGGAAGCAAGCGTGCTTGATGACAATAAGATGTAGCTGTGAGTAACCATGCATAGGATTTTGCTGCTTACGGTATATATAATTAATTGTTTTACTTTCTAAATGCCCAGGGACTGTGTATGTAAAAAGTGTAGTTTTCTGAATTGTTCTAGGTAACCAGCTTAGTGTCTTTTTTGTGATGGTGTTAAACTGTTTAACAAGGCACAGCCAAATAAACAGCTATCCATCTCTCTTTTTCTAATATATATGCACAAATGCAGTTGATTCTGTGTTATACAATATAGGTTCTGAATTCAGATTCAAGCATAACTATAGAAACTGAAAACTTTAGGACATTCCTCGTCTTAGATGACACATTCCTGCAACGCATTAGAAAGAGAGACAGGATAGAAGGCTGGACAAGAACTCAGGAGATCTGAGTTCTAATTCCTGCTCAGCCATGGAAACTGATAAGGTGGAGGATGACAACGATCAACCTCTCCTTGAACATTGCGCATACGTGCCAGGGTCACCAGGAGTTGAACGTGATTTGACGGCATATAACATACATGCATATTGGGATGGACAAATGGAAGTTTAAGAAATAAAGGTTAAAAGGCATGGGTTACATATGAAAAGAGGGGCAGTTATTAAAGAGCTATAATTATGCTTTGATTTGGCTAAGCAGCTGCCTCAAAGTAGGCTGCAGACTATAAATGCTCATAGCAAATAAAACATCTTAGTCTTTCAGGAGCCTCACGATTCTTCATTATTGTGCAAGAGAGACCAATAACTCAGAAACTGAATTTTACAGTAAGGTATATCTCTAATAATAGTTTAAGTCATTAAGATTTGCCATTCAATGTGAATGAATGGTAACGTCCAGGATTATTTTAAAACCTCTTCCTCAGTAGGTAAATTATCTGTGTTTCAGTGGCTGAAATGCTGTTGCTGTAAGTTATGTCATGTAAGGCTGATTATGTCGTCAACGGTGGCATTTGTTCAGAAATAAAGATTCCCTCCCCTGTTCCATGACCACAAGTGGCTTCTTCACAAAGAAAGAGATTTTGTGGGAGCCTTGAGAACCTCAAAGCAGGGGGGAATTGGAAATGTTTTATTTCCATCAAATCATCTTGGCTGATGAAGTAATCAGGTTTGCATGGTATAGCTGTTCACACAGGATTTCAGCCAGCACTTGGTCCTTGGCCTAATGCATTTGGAGTATTCAGTGTGGAGTACTGGACAGAGTAACAGACTAAGACTCAGGGGTCCTAGGTTCAATTCCATAGCTCTGCCATGGAAACTCACTGATAAAAACCTTTCCTCACTGTGGGCGGCCCCTGCACGCCCTTCCATGACAACACCAAGAGTAGTTGCTGAAACAGGCTCCTTTATTGAGCAACAGAACTGTTAAAGGTCCAACAGGGCCATTAACTTAAATCAGGTAACTCAGGGCACTAGGGAGTCAACTTCACTCCTTCAGTCTTTGGGGCATTGCCTCTGTATATCCTTCTAGTGGAAAGAGTGGAGCTCCACCTCCTCTACCTGGTCAAGGTGGACCCAGCATGGAGTTTTGTGATAATAGAATTGGATACATGCCATCAGGTGTCCCTGGAGGCAGGTGGCAAAGGCCCCCTCACCAGCCACTCCCCCTAAGTCACTGCTGGAAGCTGCTGGCCTGTAGGTATGGTACTCCTTCCAGTCAGCTTGTCCAAACTGCATGCAGACCTGGCTGGTATCTCTCATGTATCGGGGCAGAGGGTGGAATGGAAGCCTGATCTTATGGGACCTGGAGGGACTGCTTGCCCCTGCTGTTTGTTCTGTTGACGGTGAGCCCAATGCTGGTTCTCAAACCTCCGAGCCTCTCAGCACTTTGCCTAGTTTTGGCAGACCTCTGGTGACACAAGCAGTTCTCCCAGTAGCCAGTCTCGGGACATCTGCAGACTATCTTCCAACCAGCCCTTGACTTCTCCAGGAGTGGCAGCACCTCCAGGACCTCACACACCTCTTAATCTAGAGCATCCACTCAAGAGTCCTCCTGTCCTGTTTCCCACTCCTTAAGTCAAAGTCCCACCTTGGCCACACCTGTGGCCTTGAGGGTATCTGCCTCCCCATTGCCAATGCCCCAGTCCACAGTCTGCAGGGGCCTCTTGATGGTCCCACATTCACTTCTTTAGAAACCCTGTTAGGGTTGCTATAAGTCAGATGGCACATAACAACAACTAATGCATTCAGTGATCCTTCATTCTTTTACAGATCTTGGAAGTTACCAAGTAGTTTGGGTTCACATCAAAAGCTACTAAGCCCAAACCAAGAACTAGCCAGGCCAAATCTTGCTTAGTTTCTGAACTCAGAGGAGATTATTGCCTTCAGAGTAGTAAGGCATTGGACAGGAGCATCTTTATAAAAATGGCAGTTTGTAAAATTGGCATTGCCCCTTCAAGAACGTCAGATAGTTAACCATTTTAGCACTTCACTAGACAGGACACTGATTCCATATCTAGAAGCAGTGCATGTTTCAGAGGAAATAATTGTTTGTTTACCCTAATGTATGCTTGCTTCAATACACATTTGGAAAACTAACCTGATTCCAGTAGTTGGGAATAACATTGTGAGGTATAACAGGAGGAAATAAGCATTGTCCAAATGTGCAATCCAACCCTAAGATTTACTAAACACACTAGCTGAAACAGGCTCCTTTATTGAGCAACAGAACTGTTAAAGGTCCAACAGGGCCATTAACTTAAATCAGGTAACTCAGGGCACTAGGGAGTCAACTTCACTCCCTCAGTCTTTGGGGCATTGCCTCTGTATATCCTTCTAGTGGAAAGAGTGGAGCTCCACCTCCTCTACCTGGTCAAGGTGGACCCAGCATGGAGTTTTGTGATAACAGAATTGGATACATGCCATCAGGTGTCCCTGGAGGCAGGTGGCAAAGGCCCCCTCACCAGCCACTCCCCCTAAGTCACTGCTGGAAGCTGCTGGCCTGTAGGTATGGTACTCCTTCCAGTCAGCTTGTCCAAACTGCATGCAGACCTGGCTGGTATCTCTCATGTATCGGGGCAGAGGGTGGAATGGAAGCCTGATCTTATGGGACCTGGAGGGACTGCTTGCCCCTGCTGTTTGTTCTGTTGACGGTGAGCCCAATGCTGGTTCTCAAACCTCCGAGCCTCTCAGCACTTTGCCTAGTTTTGGCAGACCTCTGGTGACACAAGCAGTTCTCCCAGTAGCCAGTCTCGGGACATCTGCAGACTATCTTCCAACCAGCCCTTGACTTCTCCAGGAGTGGCAGCACCTCCACGTCCTCACACACCTCTTAATCTAGAACATCCACTCAAGAGTCCTCCTGTCCTGTTTCCCACTCCTTAAGTCAAAGTCCCACCTTGGCCACACCTGTGGCCTTGAGGGTATCTGCCTCCCCATTGCCAATGCCCCAGTCCACAGTCTGCAGGGGCCTCTTGATGGTCCCACATTCACTTCTTTAGAAACCCTGTTAGGGTTGCTATAAGTCAGATGGCACATAACAACAACTAATGCATTCAGTGATCCTTCATTCTTTTACAGATCTTGGAAGTTACCAAGTAGTTTGGGTTCACATCAAAAGCTACTAAGCCCAAACCAAGAACTAGCCAGGCCAAATCTTGCTTAGTTTCTGAACTCAGAGGAGATTATTGCCTTCAGAGTAGTAAGGCATTGTACAGGAGCATCTTTTTAAGAATGGCAGTTTGTAAAATTGGCATTGCCCCTTCAAGAACGTCAGATAGTTAACCATTTTAGCACTTCACTAGACAGGACACTGATTCCATATCTAGAAGCAGTGCATGTTTCAGAGGAAATAATCGTTTGTTTACCCTAATGTATGCTTGCTTCAATACACATTTGCAAAACTAACCTGATTCCAGTAGTTCGGAGAGAGCATATCTTTGTTTTCCACAACACATAGCCTAGCAAATTTGCTTACCTCGAGGAATAACATTGTGAGGTGTAACAGGAGGAAATAAGCATTGTCCAAATGGAAAACTAACCTGATTCCAGTAGTTGGGAATAACATTGTGAGGTATAACAGGAGGAAATAAGCATTGTCCAAATGTGCAATCCAACCCTAAGATTTACTAAACACACTATTCAAATGGTCATGTTGAAAGGGAATTTGTGTATGTAGACAAATTATTGTTACAAATAACAAAACATTATTTCAGATTTTTGTGAAATCCAGTTTAAAGACCTTTCCAAACCACCCATAGCTTCTAATTTGTTCCTTCAGTATTGTCTGCTGTTACATGTTAGTTGATCCCTGCTGGATGTCACAGCCCTACTTACACTCTCTCCTCACAGTTGTTTTATTTTGACTAACATGGTCTGAGCAGTGCTCACTCCACCATTTCAGATGGTTTGCTGGCTCCTCCTTGTAGAGTATAGACTTGCCAGACTTCTGGCTGGAGGAACTGATGAGTAGAAATAAATTGTAAATATTATGAGTTTTGTACATGGTAATGCTTCCTGCCCCCTCCCATCCCTCTGAAGTGCATAGTACAGCCAAACTTCCTCAGTTTTTCTCAGTCTCATGGCTTCGACCAGATCACCCAGCCATTCTATCCAGACAAACTATCTTCTCAGTTTATAAGGGTGCCCATTAAGAACCAGTCCAGGAGCCTATCTGGATCTTTTCTTAATTATGCTGAATTAATGGTATTACAAAACATAGGATACTTTCTCTAGAGCTCCTACAACTATTAAGCCTTGCAAGATTGCAATATAGGTAGGTTACATAAAAAACTTGCTTCAATCTGGCTCTTTTTCTCTGCCCTCCCAATCTTTTTTCTTCTTCTTTCAGTTGCATCCAAGGGGTTATAGAGAATTCATTGTAAATTACCTGGATGGTATTGCCAGAAAGCAGGAAATAAATGTAGTCAATATGTAAAACGTATTGCTTATATGTTGTGTGTGATGGCTTAATTATGTTTACATAATGTTGTCATGTGTCAGAGTTATAAAAGAACATTAATAAAAATAAATGTGTGAAGCAAACCCTACTAAAGAAACACTTTGGGGATCATCAGAAAGGTAGGAGGGCACATGTTTATTTGTTTCAGGTAAAACAAGGGCTCACTGAGGAGTCAAGAAATAAAGCAAAGGAACAATTTAGCCAGCCTTTGTTTGTTTGTTTGTTCTGAGGTGGTAGTAGGGCAGAACACTGATAATGTTAATCTAGGCTTCCAAAAGGCTCAAGGGTAGCCCAGGTGGCAACCTAAATATTCTTGTCAGTTTTTCTTCTCACATACTTCTCTTGCCTTTCTTCTGTGCACAGAATTAATTAAGAAGAAGCAATTATTCAAGACATCAACACTAAGAATGTGTTTGAACAGATAAAGTGATTAGAACCTCATTAGGGCTAGCAAGGTACTGCCAAGAGCACTATGGCTTTTGACAGATGGTCAGGAATTGCTATGCCAGACAGACTTATTCACCTGACTTATGATGCCAAACATATTCACAGTAAACGTCTGTATTCCTGTGTAAGTGGAATTCTTAAAGTGAATGGTCAAAAATGACCATCAAAAATAAGCCTGTCAAGATACCTCCTATTTCAGTTTTACAGCCTGGGGATGGGGGAATCATGGGAATATCCCCCAGTCCCTAAATTGAAGAGTTCTCCTTCTGGAGGTCTCCTGGTGTTGAAATAACATCTCCCCAAACTGGGCAGTATTTTTACAGTGGCTTCTGGCACTGTCTTAAGGGCTGCAAAAATCCTGCTGGGGGCCAGGGGATTACATGTTGCCCAGCCCAACATGTAAATTTAAACTAATCCCTTTGGACAAAAAGCAGACTAATAAATGCCTTTACAATAGATCTGTTGTTGTTACATGCCATCAAGTTGCCTCTGACATCTGGTGACCCAATGAATGAGTGATCTTCAAAATGTTCTGTCCTCAACAACCCTGCTCAGCTCTTGTAAACTCAAGTTAGTGGTCTCCTTTATGAAGTCAATCCCAATCATATTATCTTCTTTTTCTGATGCCTTCATCTCAGTATTATTGTATTTCCCAACATATTTTCCCTTCTTATAATCTGCCCAATGTATGGCAGTCTTGGTTTTGTGTTCTTTTGCTTCCAGAGAAAGTTCAGGCATGGCTCTATAGATTTATCTTGAGACTATAACCCTGCCCCAGGTGCTACTGCTGATTGGGTGCCTGCTGGAGGGGGTGGGGCACCAAACCACAGATCAGCTGTTTGGCCAGGAAATGAACCACACCAAATTGAGCAGGGAGCTGGACTCAGTGGCCTTATCAGCCCCTTCCAACTTCAGTATTCTATGAAATCTCCACATCAGTCTTGCTCCTAGCATAAACTAAAATGATTTCGGCCTTTCATATCCCAGTATCTCATTATTTGCCTCACACTACCTTTGGCTTGGGTCTCTTAACATTTTATATACCCAGTGGCTACAGATCAGTGCTGCCCACCCTTCACATGTTCTAGGAAAACAGCTTCCACCAGCCCTAGCCAGTATTGCCGAAGGACAGATGGGACCCACAGTCCAACGTCTGAAAGAACAAACTTTGCCTACCACTGTCACAGTCCAACAATGTCTGAAAGAACAAACTTTGCCTACCACTGCTATCAACCATAAAAAATGCTTAAATGTTTTCCCCCAAGGGGTGGCCACATTAATCTGCTGTTGCTGCAAAAAAGCAACAAACAATTGCTTCCTGTTGCCAAAAGACTATACATGTTGTTTTGAGGGAGAAAGCAATGCTAAATTACATTGGCCAAAGAGATAAAAGTCCTTACTGACTGTTTATTTATTAAATATATGCCTTACCTAAGATGGCTGCTATCCTTAAAGCTCTGCACAGGAACTTGAACTGCTATATTCTGCTCTAGATTCCAATTCTTTAGATGCTACTGTACTATACATTTCTATTCTATAAATTTATACCAGAAAGAATTTATAATATAGAACTCCTAGCATAGGACTGGACAAGATAATTGTTGAGCGTATTTCCCGCTTGTTTTTATCCATCTGACCCATTGTTTCCCTGAATTCTTCAAGGTCTTATACAAACACTGGAGCTGTTTTCTTGTGCACATTTTGAGTCCAGTTTATTGAAAACAGTTGCCATGGGAACTTAAAATGTAGTAGTTAATCAGTGTGTTACGTATTTCAACTACATATTGGCAACATCTCCTAAGAACCATCTTCCCCTCTTCTTATTTTGCACGGTTTCAGAAAAATTGATGGAACCAACCAGGAACAAGAGAATATTGAGCTGAATGAAGAAGGAAGACCTGTGCAAGCCACAAACAAACCCCCTTTGTTTGACTGCTATTGCTGCGGACTGCCCAAACGCTACATCATTGCTATCATGAGCGGCCTGGGGTTTTGTATTTCTTTTGGAATTAGATGCAATCTTGGTGTTGCCATAGTGGAAATGGTCAACAACAGTACAATCTATGTGAATGGGAAGCCAGAGATTGAGGTAAGCAGCAGCATATGTTATATGGCGGCGAAAACGACATCTTGGTTTAGCTCAGGCTTCTTAAGAAATCTATAGAACAGTTTGGACCTGGTTGTGCATATTTCTCTAACAATGTCAGAAATATCTTGTGCTTTTTTCTAATAGACACCAACACTACCCTACGCAATATGTTTACCTTTTGAAGCCAGTGATAATATAAATCAGGCTGTTACTGGAGAATAAGGTGGAGATGTACAGAGGTTAGGTAAACAAGATGTCAAATTCTTAAAGTAAAAGGAACTCTAGGAAATGTGAATTTTTAAATTCATAAAGCTGTTTTGTGTACAGCAGCTTTCCCCAATCCTAAGAAGCTCAACCTGGCACACATGATTTTCCATGCACCCACCTAACCATATACCTCCCAAGCAACCCTGTAAGATAAGTTGGGCTGAGCAATAAAACTGGTCCAAGAGATTGCCGAGGGAGTTTCATGGCTAAATAGGAATGTGGCCCCATATTTCTCCAATCCTGAGCTAACACTCCCTCTACTATCTATTAGATCCTGTTATGGAAGAAAACTTAGGCTGCAAACCTAGTTCACTTACCTAGAAGACAGCAAGGTTGAACATGGGGAGATGGATGCATCAGGTTGCACTGCAAACCTGGTAGCTCAAAGAAAACCAAACTCTGAGTGAGGAAAATATATGCACCTTGTTAGAGTTAAGGAAGAAGCAAGCAAGTCACTTTAAGCCATGCAGATGGATGGGAGACCAGCTCCAGCAAAAGCGTTCCCACTAACTTCACTTGCCCCCTCTTCTGTCTCCAATTTACTGTTATGCCCAGAATGTATTTCAGTTAATCTTTCTCAAATACTGTAATCAAAAGCAAATTTTGTTTCATCAGTCTTCTCTGTCTAAGGGGAGAGAAATGATCTCTCAGGCTGATCAAGTCCGAAAAGGAACTGTGTAGTGACCGTTAACTAAGAATATTCGACAAAATTGAGCTATAGCTCAGATAGAAAGAAATAATGAAATGCTTCCAAATCTCATTGGATTTTCATAGCTTTTGGCAGGCCAAACATACACAACTTTCGGCTCAGTGATGCCACATTCAAGATTTTGCAGCAATATAGTGCTTTCAATTGTTCAATAAAATATTGAACATGCAATTATCAAGGTGTTAACTCCATGTTGCTACATAAATGCTGTTTTCTTTGTAGAAAGCACAATTCAACTGGGATCCAGAAACAGTGGGACTCATTCACGGCTCATTTTTCTGGGGCTATATTGTTACGCAAATTCCAGGAGGCTTCATTGCAAATAAACTAGCAGCTAATAGGTAAGATAAGATAATGAGATATAATAAAGTAATAAGAATAATGTTCTAGGTTATCTAATCCTATACTTATAAAAACAAGTGTATTTTTCGTATGGAGTTGTTCTAGCAAAGCTTCACTGCTCTGTGGACTTTGGCAATAAACGATGATGTTCCTTTGAAAAGTTAATAGACAACCACAGTAGCAGTTACTATTAATGACTGCATCTAAATAATGTGGCATGCTAGTGTCCCTCTAGAAACCTACGTGTTGATTTCATAAAATGAAAAGATTTCTTGTCTCACTGTACAATGTAATTTTGGTAAGGTCTATCCAGAGATTCATATGATTGAAAGGCTCTATATTCTCTTACTCTTGTTCTTCTTAAAAAAAGAAAGAGAACTGCTTACCTTCAGAGAGCACGAATGATGCAGGGTTTATGCTTGTTTATGCTTGGATATTGTGAGGAGGGAGAGTTGAATTGAAATTCCATTTGTAAATATGGCCTATCTGGCAGCCAGTTTGCAACATTGCCCACAATGAAACCTGAAACCAACAAGACAAAAACACATGTAGCTACCATATCTTTTGGTCATGGGCCGTGGTTGATGCTGAATCACAATGCTACAAGATTCATCACTCTCATAATACAGTATATGTGTGTGTGCAGTGCTTTTACCCTTATTGGTAGAGAAGCAGCCTTTTTAAAAAAAAATGATCACAAACACTGTTTTAAATATCAGGGGTAGGCAAATTTGGCCTTCCTTATGCTGTTGGATTCCTCTGGCCATAATCCCAGACCACTGCCTATTCAGACCAGGGCCAATAGATTCACATGGAGGACCACAATTTCCTTTTTCTCCTTTACACTTCCTCAACCAACAGACTCAGGCAATAATCTTATTGGGTTCTTACACTGTTGGAAGTAGTCTGTTACAAAATACCAGAAGTGGAAATAGCTTCCCACACAGCCACAGTGCACTCCCAGTACTGTATCTGCTTCTGCAGGACAGAGCTTGAGAAGAAATCCTCCACAGTACCGTTTGGATTGCCACACAGTGCTGGAGGGACAGAAGCAGAACATCCTGCTTTGCTAAAGAGGGATACCAAGATTGTCTGATGGGGCTTCTTCCATCAGCACAAGGGCCCAACAGAATCCTGGCCATCACTCTAGGAATCTTTGAATAGGCCTGCCCATTAGAGGCTGTTGTAAATACAGATATCTGCCACAAAGGTATGATAATAATTTGCTAAAATCTCAGCTTATTTCAGCTAAAAGACCTTCATCAGGGTTCAGATATAGATAAGCATTATTTGAAAATACTTCCTGATAACTCTAAGAAATGCGTATTTCAGTCATTCAAATTGAACAGGGGGTTGGACTCTATGGGCTTATAGGCCCTTTCCAACTTCATTATTCTATGATTCTACAAAGCATAGCAGAAACATTTTGGATCTATAATAAAGCATCGGCAGCATCTTGAGAAGCACTCTCTCTTTCTGGTGATCAATTGGTTCAATACTTCCCAGTTTGCTTTGTTTTTTGTTAGTTAATCCACTTACATCACAATTTTCAAGCTGCTTTCAAAATCAAGACATTGAAGATAAAACTAAGTAACATGCTTACTTAGTACATATTATTTTTCAGAAAAAGGTGCTCCCTGATGGGAAGATATCTGTCTGTCATAGCCCATGACTGTCCTCACCTACATGTTACAGATTTAGCATTCCCCCGACCAACCCCATTGGTCATTAGGGAAGACAAACGAGGCTTAATTTTTGCAACTCTGTTGCTGCATATTTCTCGGAAGAAAACCAATTGTGAGAAGAAAAACAATCAGAGGAATTATGCATTCCTTTCAATGCCTTGCTTGATGTCAAACGATATAATATATTAAATTCATATAGTGCAGATCCACAACCTTTTTTTACCTTACAGGAAACTGACACAGCCCTGATCCAAACTAAGACCAGTACATTTGTGTGGGGATGTTTACTTTAAACCCTACCATCTTTTTAGAAATGTAAAAAAAAAAAAAATCCCCTGTGAGTGGCTTAAGAAAACAAGATCGGTGTACACCTTTTTCTTGCTGACCCTTCCCCAATTTTTAAAATGAAAAATAAATAAATTGGAGGAGGTTTGAATTGTTCCCAACTATGCTTGTTTTAAACTGGTGGAGGTTTTGTACAGCTGCACACTGCCTGTTCAACACAGTTTTTAATAATTTCATTCTGAGAATAATTCAGTTTTGTGTTAAAATGTTATTCTCTGCTATAATAAATGTAAAAAGTGTTAGCAAGTTGCTTGAAGAAAGAGATTTTTTTAAACTTTAATGGTCTGTTATTTGATGTGAAAGGGAGGGTTTCACTTACACATGTGAATATTATATTTCAACTAATGTATAACTGATTTCATGCTGGCAAGGCCTATCAGCTGTTGTCAGCAGTTAAGGAAAAAAAATACGTGTGAGCAAATTAAAAGAAGTAAGATAGGTGGAGAAGGGCAGGTTAAACACATTATTCAATTCTTTCCTTTATATACCAGCTTTTGTCCCAACTATGGAGGAGTCAGGGATGTGGGGTGCTGCGGGCTAAACCGCAGAAGCCTTTGTGAGCTGCAGGGTCAGAAGACCAGCAGTCATAAGATTGAATCCATGGGACGGAGTGAGCTCCCGTCACTTTGTCCCAGCTCCTTGCCAACCTAGCAGTTTGAAAGCATGCAAATACAAGTAGATAAATAGGGACCACCTCGGTGGGAAGGTAAATAGCATTCCAGGTCTAAGTCGCGCTGGCCATGTGACCACGGAAAACTGTCTATGGACAAACGCTGGCTCTACGGCTTGGAAATCGGACATGACTAACTAAATGTCAAGGGGAACCTTTACCTTTTATGGAGGAGACATGGTTGTTACTGAATGTCATCTGAGATGGAAGCGATCCTAAAAGGTACCAGCATATTGGAGCGCGAACCAGCACGGCTTCTGTGCATTGCCAGACAACAAGCTAACAAGTGTAGTATTCTTAGTCATACCAGGAGGAACACGCCTCCTGTTAAATAGGTGTCTCTTATGGGGCCTACAAAAATTCAGGAGCCCCGTCAGGAATAAATAGATAAACAAATCCACAGAAGAACAGATAGAAGACTCCTAACTCAGCCCATGGCAGTTCCTGTTTTGCCAACAAAGGGTTCCAGGAAACACCCCTTCCCTTCCTCAAGCTCCTCCTCCTTCCCCAAGCTCTGTCTAACAGATTCTTAACACACACATACACATACTCCCAGTCAGGAACAAAGCAAGCATCAGCTATATTTGAGTAGATATTGGTCTCCCGCAGCAGCTTACGCTACCAAATGATAGACAGTTAAATACCTGCAATTATTACAGATGTCTAGTTGGAAGTGTGATGCAATGGATACAGACTAGGCCTCAGGAGTCCTGGGTTGAAATCCCCACTCAGCCATGGAAACTAACTGGGAGGTGAAACTGGTAAAACCAGTTCTTAAACATCTCACTTAGCTTGAAAGCCTTCACTAAGGTCAGGAAAAGTTGATGCACATAAAGCACACATAAGAATAGCTCTTCATGTGGAGATACAGAAGAGGGCACATGAGCTTTGGTTTTAGAACCTGATAGTACGTTAGTTCTCCTGTGACTGAACTCCTTGAGTGTCTGAACAATAAGATTCTCATAGAAGAGGGATTTTTCTGACACTGCACCCCAACTGTGGAATGCCCACCCCTTGGAGGCTTGATTGATGCCAACATTGGATCATTTTGGTAGTAAATCAAGACATATTTATTAGAACCTTTGGAAGTTGTGGATCATGGCCTATACAGGTTTTTAATACTATAGTTTTTAATGTTTTAATTTTGAGTTGTTTGGTTTTAAATTGCTTTAAATAGCTTTAAATTGTTTTATACAGTTTTGCAACGTATCCTGAGATCTTATGATATAGGATGGCTCATATATGTAGAAAGAAAGAAAGCACAGTCCAGTAAAGGAAATAATGCGACAAAGACCATTCACTGACTTCAGGTCAACAACAACTTGAAGCCAGTGAAAATTAAGTCTCATGCAGTGTACCTTATGGTCTCAGGGTCTCAGAGCTTTGCATTTAGAACCTGATAGTACATTAGTTCTCCTGTGACTCCGTTCCTTGAGTGTCTGAACAATAAGATTCTCAAATTACACCTGTGTTCACTTCCCAATAGCCAAGCACAAAACAGTACAAGGTAATTTGCAACAAACAGGAGGGGAGAAAAGCTTGTGCTCTGAAAAATAGATCTCTTTCAGACTTAAGGACTTAAGGATGTTCTGCTTCTAATGACATGCTAAATGTGTTGGTGTTTTAGACCCTTGGTTATTACCGTCTACTGTGCATTTATGTTCTGGTCATGGTGGTGTGCTGTGATTGAATATAGAGTTGGACAGTATCCCGTTTCTCTCCTTTAAGTCATTAATAAAAAACATTTCTTTTTATTTTTGTTGTTGTTGTTGTTGTTAAATAATAGCAACAAATAGAAATTAATTTTGCAGCTCATCGAAAACAGAATATATAAATATATAGCACTGAGGAAATAGGGGTCACAAAAATAAGAGAAGAAGGAAGACAACAGTGTGGCTTTGAGAAGAGAATAATTAAGAAACCTCTTATGACAAGTCCAGGGCTAGTGCAAAGTTGTTTTGTCACATGGCCATAACCATTGCTTGTGGAATAACGAGTGTGGTCTACCTGTGCTTCTCTCAAATATCTGCCTACATCTCAACACTAACTTTGTCTCATCTGGGACCTTTCTACTAATGTAACTTCACCAGCAAAACAGTTTTGCTGGCATATCAGACAGTTGCAGTGGAATATTTTTCATGATTGCAATTTATGTCACTGCAAGATTGCCACAAAAACCTGTGGCTCACTTGGATAATGAAAATCGCCAATATGATTGCACCCTAATTCTGTAGAGCGAATGCTCTGTAGTTCAAGTGGGAGGAACACCATAACTGTTTATTTAAAGTGTTGATGGATCATAGCTTTCCTAATCTCTCAGTGTTGGCTAGGGCTGATGAGGTTTGCAATTGCTAGAGGGTATGTAGTCCTCACCCCTGCTGCAGCTGGCGCATGATTCCAAATAAGTGTGTCAGATTAGCCCGTTGCAAGTGGTACTCATGGCCTGTTTTCTTATGAAACCATAGAATTGTCTGTTGCTGTTGGAATTTTATTTACTGTTAAATAGTTGCCACCATTTATTAAACTGTTTTAGAGTTGGTTTTGCACCCTGAAATAAGTATGTGCTTAAATACAAGAGAGCATAGATGAGAAAGTCCTGCATTTTTTCAGAATAGCAGTATTAGAAAGATTGCTACCCTCTAAAGGGAGACTGTGTTGTGTGTTTTTTGTAATGGCTTTTGTAAAGACATAAAATGTCAATGACTGGTTTTCTCACAATTTGAAACACCTCTGTTCAACACCCCCCCTTTGGGGTCTGGTTTAGTTTTTAATAAGAAATGCTCTTTCAGGCTGAAGTTCAGCGTGTGAATTAAAAAGACACCAAGAAAGTCAGTTTGCTTCTGTTCTACAGACTTGGTATCTAAAACTTGGGTTTACTTTGCATTCCTTCTACTCAATAATATGTACATACATTTATTCCTATATAAAATGATGCACAAAATCTCCCTTTCCATCCAGGGTATTTGGAGCAGCTATTTTCCTGACTTCCACACTAAACATGTTCATCCCTGCAGCTGCAAGAGTACATTATGGCTGTGTTATGTTTGTAAGAATTTTGCAAGGTCTTGTGGAGGTAGGTATGCAGTGTATTTATTTGTTTCATTATCTTATGTTCTATTGTCTAAAATCCTGTTGCTTTGTAATTCATACAGATGGCCAATGGTGTAAGATTAAATTGGTTCTAAGTAGCAGTTAACAAGTCCTGCAGGTGATTCTTGAGCACATGCCAAGTCAGCAAGCATGTGTGTCCCCAATACTCCTAGCAGTAACTCATTAATTGCTGAATGGAAACCATTTGCCTCCCACATGTATAACAAAGCAACAAGATTTCAGTCATTAGATTATAGGCTAGTATTAAGGCTTTTTGTTGTTGTTTGTATGTCTAACTCTTCGTGACCCCATGGGTCACGAATTTTTGTGTTGCTTATTTCTTTTTAATTACTGTACTTGGAAGATGAGTTTGGTCAGTCCTTTTTTACAATATATGTAACAACAACATATGAGAAGAGAAGACTCCCTGGAAAAGACCCTGATGTTGGGAAAGTGTGAAGGCAAGAGGAGAAGGGGACGACAGAGCACGAGATGGTTGGACAGTGTCACTGAAGCTACCAACATGACTTTGACCCAACTCCAGGAGGCAGTGGAATACAGGAGGGCCTGGCGTGCTCTGGTCCATGGGGTCACGAAGAGTCGGACATGACTTAATGACTAAACAACAACAACAACTACAAATAACAAAGTTACATCTATACTCATTGCTTCTCGGATTGAAACATCCATAGTCAGAAGCAAATTGTAGAATGAGTTCAAAGAGGGCTGAGGAAATATGCCAGCAATGCGAGGAATAGCAAAATTCAAAATGAACAGAGCTTGTCCTCTGTAGACATGTTTTTATTTGGGGAAAAGGATCCTTACTCTTTCTGGGTCTTTCACTCCTTCTCAAAATTTGCTGCACTCCGGTTGCTTCATTCACTGGGATGAGACTTTGGATTTCTTCAGGGACTAGTGCGCGACATCCCAACAGATATCAGGACACTGGATCTAAATTGATAAATCAAGAAATATAGATGAAATGCACAGAAGCTTTTGACCATTAAGGGCCATGGATTCAGCACAATTGTAAATAACTCACCATGCCACTACTCCATTGAGTTCCACAATCCTCCCTCAGTGCAGTGTGAAGTTCCAGCTGATTCTGTGTGGGTTTCATTGGAAGAAAGTTCCTTTGTATTTTGGGGTGGTGAAAACATTTTAAATATGTTCTATACTTTGGTTCAATTGTCAATCTGTATGGAGGCTATAACCAAAAAAATCAAAATACGTAATAAGATTGAGCCTTGGAAGCACATACCTGAAGAAACTAGAAAAAGATCCTCATACGCAAGTATATGTAACTGGAAACCAAGGCCAAATAATCAGGTATTAATTGTCCAGCTTTCACATCAACATAGAGTAAGGCCTTCCCAACATAAAACTCCTGACGATCCTTCTCTCTATATATCTTTCTTTGACTTCTATCTTAGTTTCCATCAACATAGAGTAATCAGGTATTTCTGATTCTTTGTAAAAGGAAAAATTAAAATACAGCCTTATTTATTTATTTAAAATATTTTTAATGCCTAAGGGAGTCAATTTTCTACTTCTAGGATTCTCTTCCACAATTATACTGTAAGTATATCCTTGTCTATAGTCGCAGGTTGTATAGTCCTCAGCACCAGCACTTCAGAGTGAGCAACTAATTTATTTTATTTATTTAAAATATTTTTACCTTGTCTTTGTTCCTAAAAATGGACTCAAGGCAGCCTACATCATTAAAAGATGATTATTTAAAGCTAAAAACAGTAAGTATAAAAATACTAAAAAGAACCAAACAAATATCGCACTAAAAGATGGTAAAGAAAAGCAACACCAAAAACACATTGAAATCAGTAAAGCAGAGCTATCTATTTAAAAACCCCACCCAGGCACCCAGTCATTCAGGGAAAGGTTGGCTGAAGAAAAAGGTCTTTATCTGCTTGCAGAAGGACAGCAAGGCAGGGACGGCAGGGCCTCCTGTGGGAGGGAGTTCCAAAGTCTGGGAGCTTTATAAATACCATGGACTGCTAGAAAGATAATTTAGTTCTATGGCAAATGAAGCCTAAACTCTCACTAGATGCTAAAATGACAAAGCTCAGGCTATTGTATTTTGGATATATCACGAGAAGACAAAACTCACTGGAAAAGGCAATAATGGTGGGCACAGCTGAAGGCAGCAGAAAACGAGAAATACGTAATACAAATATTTGATAAAGAAAGCCACAACTTTTAGTTTGCAAGAGCTAAGCAGAGCTGATAATGAGAAGACCTTTTGGAGACCATTAATTCATAGGGTCACCGTACATCAGAAAGTGACTTTATAACACATGCCGGCAACAAAAGGTTCTTTATACAGTAAGTTTATAAATTAGTTAAAATAATAAAAAAATATTTTAGACAAAAGTGGGTGTGCTATAGAAATGTCATGCTTTACATAAAATGTTTCCCAGGGAGTGACCTACCCAGCATGCCATGGAATGTGGAGTAAATGGGCCCCTCCACTGGAAAGAAGCAGGCTAGCAACTACATCTTTCTGTGGTAAGTTGGCTGATATTGAGAAATTTTAGAGAATATGTTGTTGGCATCATGGGTTTAAAGACACAAATAACACAAATAATAGATCTCCGATGCTTTGCTGTTTAAGAATATCTGACAGATAACTGACTTGCAGGCACTCTGAAGTAGGATCTAATTCCTGGAGGATCTCTTTTTAATCTCAAAGATATATACTGTATGCTGGGTTGGTTTATTTCAAATGGAATCTGGGCTAAAATTCCTGTGCGTCATACTGCATTTCAACAGGAGAAATTCTGACTTTCCTTCCCCTTTCATTGACAGTTCTGACAGGGAGAAAAGAGGAGTCTCGCAGGGCAGAATCCTATTATTTCACACCACTCTCACACAACACAAACAATTTGACATAGATACTGCTCCCATACTTGAGGCATCCAGAACCTTACTGTGCACGTGGAGGTTGCATTTTCTCAGTGGCCATCATGGGATGCACAAAACTGCCATTGGCTGGTCTCATGTTCCTACATCATCAGGCTTTTCACCCTACAATAGGATCTCAGGCTTGAGGTGTATCCTATCAAGCTTCTACTGAGCAGAAAGTCCCACCAGTGTAGCAAGATGGAATCACACTGCTTACACAAGTACTTCCCCATAGATACGGTATCACTGCTGTGTCAATAGCAACACTTGCACAGTACTGTGTTACTCTGCTAGTGAATCAGACATCTGTTTTTGTCTCTACTGTATCTCAGATACTGTTTCCCCCTCTCTCTGTTGTCCTCATGTTGCCATCACACTAATTCATGTTCCTTCTGAGTTTGAGCCACCTATTTTTACAGCTTTCCCCTCTTTGATTACGCATTTGAATTTGTTTATATACAGAATATTAGATTGGGAAGGCAGATAGCAAGCTTAAATTTTTTTTCTTTCATTAATTAGCTCACTTTATTAAACCTTCATTAATGCTTGAAAGAGTGTTTGGGAAATAGCTTTTAGGTCATGGTGCACACATAAAACATGGGCAATACCAAATTAAACTGATTTCCTAATGAATTATTCTAAGGGCAGCTCAGAGTGAGATGTTCTCAGCATGGCCAACAGTGGTTCATACATAGGTTAACTGTTCATTAACAAAGTATGAACTAATGTCAAATGAGGAAAAGAAGAACACCTGCGTCTGTGCACCCCTCAGAATAATTCATTAGTAGCATGGGTTACTGCCAAACTAGAATTTCATGGCTTGTCTGTTTGAGTCTTCTGTTAAACTCAAATACTACTTATTTTGCTACACTCTATTACCACTTGCCCAATAAGTAAATAGACAGGTTTTAGTTTTAGTTTTCTTACATTTTATGATTCTGTAGTGCAAATGCTTTCAAACTGGACTTCTATTTCTTTAAGAACTCTAAGCATGGGATTTCTTAAGTACAAATCCTCCCCATCAGGGAAATATGGAACCTGCTGAATAGTGCTGCACCCTAGAATTCTTAAAGTGGTAGAAATTCTATATCTTCAAGAACATGAACATCCATTCTTTATTTGCCCCTGTGGGTGAAAGGTGTAACCAGAGATGATCTAAGGCAGTGGTTCTTAACCTTTGTTAGGTGTTTTTGAACTGCAACTCCCAGAAACCCCAGCCAGCAGAGCTGATGGTGAAGGCTTCTGGGAGTTGCAGTCCAAAAACATCTGAGAAACAAAGGTTAAGAACCAGTGATCTAAGGCAATTCACGAGTGCAATTAATGTGAAGATTTATTTATATCACAGCAGATAAAAAAGGAATAAGATCCATGAAATGAAGGCACAATGTAAAATAAATAAAATGAATTTCTAACAAAATACAATGCAATGATGAAACAAGAAATGTAAAGTAGAACAATTTGGATTAAATTCAGATTAAGTTATAGTTATGCAAATTAGCCTCAGTTCCCCCTTTATGAAACACTATACTTGCCCTTAATCTTCCATGAGCATTCTAGTTAAAACTCACTGTGTTCCCAGCTGTGTAGCAGTCTTTGGCCTAAAGACTGAGAATGAAAAACATTAAACTACCTATTCCAGGGAACGGGTTCCTGAAGACTCAGGGGAATTGATCCAGAGAATCCACATGGAAAAATCAGAAGAAGAAGAAAAATGTAAAATACTGTATAGTGAAATGAGTGGGGTGTGACAGTCCAATTCACATATCCGCACATATCCAATGCATCTTAGACCCTAAAAGCAGGACCTGATTAATACCTGTAATACTGAAATCTAATCTGGATTTAGTGATGGCAGCTTTCTGAGAGAGATATTTTGTTTTACATTTAACTGACAATACAGAAGAAACTTCAGTAGTATCTGATATTATATAAAGTTTTCCAATGGAGAATGAGAAACTTAGTCATGGAACATCCAAAGCACCTTTATTGACTGTGCAGGAAAAATAATCAGCAGGTATAGCTGGGGCCAGAAATACGTACATACTGAGTTAGAGGGATGTGCATTGAAGTTCCTACCTACCAACTGAAGAGCATTGCTATTTTCAAATATCCAGAAGTCTCCTATACTGTATGCTAGAGTGGGGAATCAGCTCTCCAGATATTTTGGACAATGATATCCATAATACCCTACCACTGGCTGTTTTAACTGGGACTTCTGGATGTTGAACCCCATCAGGAAAGCCAAATGTTATCTTTCCCTCCTTTACACATTATGTTGACTTCAAGCAGAGACTGTACAGTAGTAGGATTCTGAGAAAGGCTTTACACAGTCCCTCTTTGTCGTTGCAGATGCATGCAAGTTTTGAGACTTGATTCCTATAATATTCTCTGCTCTCTGTTTGTTTGTTCTTGAAGCTGTATTTACTTGTATTAGTCAGTTTGTACTGGCCCAAATCCTCTTGCATAAATTACACTGTTAGCTCCAGATACATCCTGTCTTGGCCCAGTTTTCAGAGGCACAGGATTTCAAAGAGCTCAAGAGGAACAGAATAATACAACTTGATTAAAGAGCGATCAGTAAAAATTTAAGGATTTTATCATTTGAGTACAGTGTAATTAACCCCAAAAATGCAAATTTGTATCTCCCATTCTTACAAAAGATCAGACCAAGTAACATTCAAGAAGTAATAAGACAGTTTGATGTCTCAAGAGGTTATATTCTAGCTGAAATTGTATTAAATTGCTGAAATAAAGGGATTAGTCAAAAATTGTATAATATTGCATAAAATAGTTTAATCTCTAGGGATCCAACAAAACGAGGAAAAAGAATTTGTGATGAAGAGTAAAAGATTTTCAAAAGTAGATCCACATAGAGGCAGTTCAGCATGCATTATGAAAGAATTTATGTAAGATTATGTAGAGATGATACTATACTATTAAAATGTAAAAATGAAAGCATGCTATCAAATGCTTGCAAGTAATATTGGTGCTGTAGAAATAGAAGTGGCATATTTGCCCATATTCAGTGATATAGTACTCAAGTAAAACAATATTGGACCATGATTGCATCTATCATCAAGAAAATGTACTACTTAATCCATCCACTGTATGGTTATGCAGTATTTCCAACCAGATATCCAGAATTTACAGAACAATTGTATCCTCTGTAGTCCACATATGCCCCAACAATCACTGGTTTGCAGTTATATAAACAGTAGAGGTTGCTGGTTTCCCTCTTGCAAAAATAACAGGGAGATAATGGGGAAGGAAGATCCCAGACCTACCTTTTTCAAACTATGCTCACTACCGACAGGATATTAGCTATTTTTTAAAAACTATACAGTACTTCCCACAATCCACAGCCGGCATGGCCACTGTGGATTTTGGAAACTTTAGTCCAAATACATAGCATTTCGATGTTCTGCTTAAAAGTGCATCTTCAGCAACATGAGTACATATGTTACCTGTAGGTCCGCCTGTCATGAACTTAGATATTCTACAAGCATATTTCTACAATGTTTTGCACTTTCTTTTTGTGAAAGGTAGATGGTGCCATTTTTCAGGTGGCACTCCCTGCTACTGTAAGCTAATGAAATTGGCAAATGACATTTTATGTGATGGAATACTGTTCTTGACCCATATAATATGCTTTTATTCCACAGGCTCCTATGCTGGAGCAGTGGTCGCCATGCCACTAGCTGGTATTTTGGTACAGTACATAGGATGGTCCTCTGTCTTTTATATATATGGTGAGCATATAGTTAATATATTTAAATTTGTGCTCTTAAGATATCCTAAACTATTTTATAGATAATAATGCTCTTTTGGGGAGGAGTAATTTTCGGGAAATGCACCAATATTCCTACAGGGTAAACTTTTAAATATTGTTGAAATAGCATTATGAAATAATTTGAAATAGTGTATTCAGCAGAAAATGTATAAGAAGTGCTTTTTGGTTATTGTCCTGTTTTTCTTTCTTCCTCTTCAGGAATGTTTGGTATTATCTGGTACATGTTCTGGCTGTTGCACGCCTATGAGAGCCCGGCAATCCACCCAACAATAACCTCAGAGGAACGAACTTATATAGAAACAAGTATAGGAGGGGCCAATTTAGTCAGTGCCAGTGTAAGTTAAATTCTTACAAGATTTTAATTTAATGGTTATTTTCCCTCAGAAACTATTCCGTCATCCAAAACCATGGCAAAGACCTTTAAAAAGGAGTATTTTGTGGCTGCAGATAGAGTTCTGTACATTTTTCACCAGATTATTGCTTGTCTCAATTCTCTATGCAGTTGCTAATGTGTGATTAAGCCCTCATTCCTGGAGTCTTTCTTGATACCAGTGATGTCAGTGTAAAGGTAAAGGTTCCCCTTGACAATTTTTGTCCAGTCGTGTGCGACTCCAGGGGGCGGTGATCATCCCCATTTCCAAGCCATAAAGCCAGCGTTTTGTCCAAAGACAATGTTCCGTGGTCACATGGCCAGTGCGACTTAGACACGGAACACTGTTACCTTCCCACCGAGGTGGTCCCTATTAATTTACTCGCATTTGCATGCTTTCGAACCGCTAGGTTGGTGGGAGCTGGGACAAGCGACGGGCGCTCACTCCGTCACGTGGATTCGATCTTACGACTGCTTGGTCTTCTGACCCTGCAGCACAGGCTTCTGCGGTTTAGCCCGCAGCGCCACCACGTCCCACCAATGTCAGTGTAACGTCCCTATAATACTGATGTGATGGTATATTTTATGCTGACAGATTTTGAATGATGCCTGATTTAGAAGAAGCAATAGAAAAAGCATTTTCCTCCCCTGCCTCATACAAATGTGTATGCTACCCCGCCAAAAAAGTTTAGGATTAAACTCTCTCTCTATGTGTGTGTATGTGTGTGTGTGGGGGGGGAGGGAGGGAGGTAGAAAGAACGGTGTTTACTGTTGTCTGTTTTTGTTTTGGATTGTCTCTTGCCTGTAAACTGTGAAGACACAAGGATTATTTTACTCACTCCTGCTTTAAAAAAACCCATATAAACTGTGCATGGTACAGTAGTTCTTAATGCAAATGTTTCCAGAGGAGTAAGGCTGCAAAATTCCAGCTAGAACAGACCCATCTGATTGAGATATATTTTGACTTGCCAATCCCCAATTGGATTCAGCCAGAAATTTGGTACTGGGGAGTCAGCCTCACTGCTGAGTATAAATATGCATAGGACTGTGCTATCAAACCAGTACCATCTGGCCACATTTGTGATTCCTGAAATCTCTCCCATCTCTCAGCTATTCTAAGGCTTTCCCATTCTCTATTCTAGAGATTTAGTACGCCGTGGAAGCAGTTCTTCACATCAATGCCAGTTTATGCAATCATTGTGGCAAACTTCTGCAGAAGCTGGACTTTCTACTTACTGCTTATAAGTCAGCCTGCCTACTTTGAAGAGGTCTTTGGATTTGCGATAAGTAAGGTAGATCCACATGCTCCTTTTTTAATGGTTTCATGGTGAAGTGCTCATTGTTCATGCTTTTCTTGAACCCAGACAAACTGAGAATCCTCAGAAACAGGCATGTCTGATTCTTCCATTAGGATCATTCAATTTTATTCTAAGATCCTTTATGTCTGCTACTTCACATATAAGTGGTTAACACAAACCAAAGGCTTCTGATTGGAGGCAAGGATATAAGGCTGCATAAATGATGTTCTCATTTTTCCAGCCAATTACTCTTCCTTATATTCATATCATAGGGCCAACAATTCAGTAGACAAAATGTTCTTGTGTAGCTATGCAAGTAGTGTAATCTTCAGAAGCATTGTCTCAAATTAAGGAAACAATGTAGATATTATCAGTTGCATATTGAGTCACACAGTACCACAATGGAACCAATTACCTCTGGAGGTGGTGAACACTCCAACACTAGAGACATTCAAGAAAAAATTAGAAAGCTATATGTCAAATCTGTTTTGACTTTGATTTCTGCATTGAGCAGGGCGTTGGACTTTATAGCCTTCTAGGCTCCTTTCAACTCAATTATTCTGTGATTCTATGTCGACAGTGAATTCTTGACTTAAATCAATTTGTTATTTATACAGATTTAAAAATCTTTGCTCCTTGTTTGATATTTTAAAGAAATATTAAAAATGCAGGTTTAATTCCTTTTGCCTAAGCCAATTTATTTATTTATTAAATTTATACCCTGCCCATGTGGTGCTGGAGGAGGCTCTTGAGAGTTCCCTGGACTGCAAGGAGAACAAACCTATGAATTCTGAAGGAAATCCACCCTGAGTGTTCACTTGATGGACAGATCCTGAAGCAGAGGCTCCAATACTTTGGCCATCTGATGAGAAGAGAAGACTCCCTGGAAAAGACTCTGATGTTGGGAAAGTGTGAAGGCAAGAGAAGAAGGGGACGACAGTGGATGAGATGGTTGGACAGTGTCATTGAAGCGAGCAACACGAATTTGACCCAACTCCAGGAAGCAGTGGAAGACAGGAAGGCCTGGTGTGCTCTGGTCTATGGGGTCACGAAGAGTCGGACACAACTAAACAACTAAACAACTAAAAAACAAGCCGATTTTACCTATTTTTTTGTATAATTTGTACCCAGCTGTCTATAACAATCTGCCCAAGTTCAATGAGAAAATCAGAGCCACAGCATCTGTAGCCCAGTGATTCCCAATCATTTTCATCACTAACCCAGCTGTAGGCCTCTATGTTACACTGTTCATCATTCAGGAAGCCCCTCCTTCCCTGGTCTCAGGAGTGATCTCTGAAAGGGCAGGAGAGACTAAAGTGGCAAGAGGGTGGCCAAGTCCTGTTGCATGAAGAGAACCTTTCAAAGTTCTCTCGTTCCAAATACCACACATATCTGTTATTTCCATTGGACAACTCATGGTAGCTTACATAGGGCAAAACTCACAAACTCACACATATTCCATTTCAGCATTGTGCGCTCGTAAACTGTTCAGTGAGTTAAGTATGGGAAATATACAGGGGGGAGGCAGTATCCTTACAGATACAAAATATTAAGAGACATAAAATATTCTTCCACAGTACTCTGTATATTTACTTTCAGGTTGGCCTTTTGTCTGCAGTTCCACATATGGTCATGACTATCATTGTGCCCATTGGAGGCCAGCTGGCTGACTTTTTACGAAGCAGAAGAATTTTAACAACTACTGCAGTAAGAAAAATCATGAACTGTGGAGGTATAGTTAGATTTTCGGGGTAAAATACATGACTTTTGCATTACTAAATAATACTGGAATCTCTTTTCCTGACAGTGAAATGTAATTGAGAAAACTAAAAACAGTGTGATACTGTAGAAATGTTATGTTGAAACCCCTAAATATTTGCAGAACATATGTTGAACATGGGTTTTTAATGTGGAAGAGTCCACATTTGATTTATAGCATCTCGAGGCAGGAATTCCTTTGGAAACAAGATTCCTATTGGAAACCATGGAGAGATGGCGCCCTTCGGTATAGGCAGAACTGAGCTGTATATCCAACTTGTCAGGAACTGTCACAAATTATATACTATGCAGAATCCAATAATCACATGAATCACAACCGTAACATTATGGTATCTGGAGTTCAAGTGTTTAAATTAGACTGAAATTCTATGCTCTCTGAGTGGCACAACACAGAGTATTATTATTTTATTATATTGTTTTTACTTTATCTATTATTGTTAGCCGCCCAGAGTAGACTTCGGTCTAGATGGGTGGGGTATAAATGTAATGAATGAATGAATGAATGAATGAATGAATGAATGAATGAATGAATGAATGAATGAATGAATGAATGAATGTGGAGATTTATTAACTTGAGGCAATTTCCCTCCAAAAGTTATGCCTTTTTACATAGCAGTGAAATAGGATTTCAGCCACGGGGTCACATCAGAGCAGTAACTTCTTACAGCTCAAAAGATTGGTTCAGTCTTTCCTTCATATTATCCTGGAGAACATAAATGAAAACCATTGCATGTTATTTCATACTTCCTTGTCAACAGAACTAGTGCTATAGCAGGGCTTATTGTGATAAGATGCTAGCTAAATTTCAACATGTTTAGGTCATTGGTTTATTATCACCATCATCTTGGAACTGCAGAGATGGAAGGGACCCTATGAACCATTGAATCTAGCCCTTGTCAAGGACGCACAGTGGGGAATTAAACTCCCATTCTTTGCTCCACAGCCAGACACCTAAACCACTGATTTATCAACAAGCTTTAAGTGTGTTCTGTATTGAAGACATTTAATTTTTACATCTATTTATGTTTTGTTTTTAATAAATTCTCCCTCCCTCCCTCCCTCTCTCTCTCTCTCTCTCTCCCTCTCCTCCCTTGCCATCATGCACATGAAAAATATAAAGCATAAACTGCTCTTAAATGGGACAAGGGAACCCCATCTAATCCACAACCCACTCAAGTATCAAGTATAGCCCTCAAACTTTGAGTTAGGAAAAATAAAACTGAAAATGATACCAGGCATTTAGAACTCATAAATGTCAAGGTAAACACTAATGTTTAAAAGGAACTAAAATACACTGCTTAGTATCACTTGAATCATGTTATTTCAAATAATGCACTTTGTTTCATTTCCAGGCTTTGGGATGGAAGCAACTTTACTTTTGGTGGTTGGCTATTCTCACACAAGAGGAGTGGCTATCTCTTTCTTGGTTTTAGCAGTAGGCTTCAGTGGATTTGCTATTTCAGGTAACACTTCAAAATATAAATTTTTCCAAAAAAGATTGGAGAAACAGTTTCAAAAATCAGCAGACTCACCATTGAAGTTAACTCTATTTATTTACATGTATACCTCATAGAAAGTGCCACAGGCATGGGGGTAAACATGCAGTATGGCTATTACATATTTACGACGACCTCAGGCAGTATCAAACAATGACCAAAATCCTGTTACTTAGGATAGTAAATGTCACTAGAGGACGCTCACTAAATCAGTTGGGATTTGGTGACTCACCTCCTCTGTAGTTCCATTGCTTCAAATGAGCCTACTCTACTTATGACTTCCTTTAGCATAGTAAGTCACAGAGTAAGCCCATTTGAATTAAGGAAATTTATGGAGGAAGCGGCTCATGACATCCGCACTGATTCAAGGGGCCTACTCTGTTACTATAAAGTCTCTGTTACTACAAAGTCCTGTTACTACACTGGGTAATAGGACTTTGGTCAATGTCACTTCAATCCTAGATAAGACGAGGTATTTTAAAGGGTATTTGCTGGTGTATTCATTTCAATTAGAAAAAAGATGTAGATTGATTTCCAATGTGCATACATGGACAGGCTGGGATTCCTTTATAAAATAATGTTTTCTCCTTGGCCAACTGAGCCATTCATGTGGCCTCACTTTCTATACAAAAAATGTTGGGCCAAGGGTTCACACAAATCTGTACTGAGAGCAGCCATGAAGTTTGTAAATATGCCCTGATTTACCTAATAGCACCTATGATTGTGTGCAAATCAGAAGTCTATAGTTCTGCCTTATTTTGACTCCATCGTTGTGATGGATTTAAAAATTTACCTTGCTTAAATAGTAGGGAGGTAAAAGTCACACGGGCAATGCCTTTATTGGATTACTCAAATATCAGAAAAGGGCAACCGTTCAAGTCCAGCAGGATCCTTCATCAGGCTGGTCATTGCCCTCTACTCTCCAATGCCCATCCTAAGAAAAGATCCTCTGGGGCTCGGAGACTTTCTTATTTCTAATATTTTAATGGTTTATCAACAGTATTCATCAGCCTTGTTCCAGATTTTTATTAAATACTTTGCTGCACGTAGGTGAAGCCAGGGGAGCAAGGAGGAAAGGAACAGAGAGGAACTTGCCAGATCCAGAGGCTGAGAGAGTTTCTCTTTAAGTGCTGATCGTAGGGGAAAATTTCACCAAATGGAACCAGTGCAGAATTAGGTCGAGAAAATTAATATTTTCTGTCCTGTAGTTAAGGGTACAGGAGCCTTCTGAGGTCTGAGAAGACTGAACAGGAGTACCAGTCATAAGTTCATGTTTGTCTGTCTGTCTGTCTGTTTGTTTGTTCCACCTGCTTGAATAATTTCCACTGGAGGCACACAGAACTGTAGCCCAAAAACACAAATGCAAACACCTCTAATTTCTGTTGTAATTGTTGTAGCCCTGCAGGATGCACACAGTTAACCAGCATTGTGTATTACAGGATTTAATGTCAACCATTTAGATATTGCACCCCGGTATGCCAGCATCCTCATGGGCATCTCCAATGGAGTTGGGACACTGTCCGGAATGGTGTGCCCCCTCATTGTTGGTGCAATGACTAAACATAAGGTAAAGCATTCAGCCAGATTTTTATTTGAATACAGTCAAATGCATTCCAGACAAATATTGTTTTAAGCAGCCATTAGCCTTGCTAACTTCCAGTCCATTCCTAGTAACTTTGAGAAACTATTGTAGTGTCACAGTCTGTCTTTATTGAAGCAGATACAGTTTGATATCAGCGAGGAAAGGCATGTCTGATATTGCTCTAAAAAGGTGTTCCCAGCCTTGGGTTTCCAGATGTTCTTGGACTTCAGCTCCCAGAAACCTTGACCAGTACAGCTACTGGTGAAGGCTTCTGGGATTTTTTGTCCAAGAAAATCTGGGGACCCCAGGTTGGGAAGCGCTGCTCTAAAAGATAGAACAAGGGAAATGAACTTCTCTGATTTTCACTCATGTATTCTACTAGGAAATAATCCAAGAAAATTCTGTGAACTTTTCTATGCAAATATTTGTGATAAGAGGCCAAGATGGGGAGATGCCAAGAAACAGAGGATCAAGCTGGTTGTCAGCACAGCATATTTGTAGCCCCACCTGTAACCCAACAGTTGCACTAGGGTGATACCTACTCCACCTGGGATCATGGCACTCTGACATTGTCACTGGGATCTGCTTGGGTCTCCAGTTGGAATGCCAAATTTGTTTCTTGAACCATGTTGTATGCCCCAAAATGCATTGCCTGACATGTGGCAGAAAAATTAAAAAACACCTTAAAATTATCATTTCCTGTCAGGAAGTGAAGCCAATGGTAGTCTGGAGGTAGAATTAGCCTCTCAGATCCACTTCCGCAGTATAGCAATGCGTATTGTTGTGATAATTGTTTTGTATGCATTGCTGTAAACGGCACAGACAATACATTGTAAATTGTGGCAGTATATCGTTTGAAATAATAGATAAATAAATAATTCAGAATAGACTTGCTAGAAAGTGAGTATCTGCTAGGTATTTTGGTGCTCACTGGAAGAAGAATGTTATTTGAAAAAATCAGAGAGCAGCTTGCTTCTCAAGGTTCTGTGTTAAATTTGGGCCTTTATCTTTGTCTGTGTATGTCTTCTGTTCTCCTTTTTAGACTCGTGAAGAGTGGCAAAATGTCTTCCTAATAGCTGCTCTGGTTCATTATAGTGGAGTGATATTTTATGCAATTTTTGCTTCTGGTGAGAAGCAGAAATGGGCTGATCCTGAAAGCTTGAATGATGAGAAATGTGGAATCATTGACCAAGATGAACTGGCTGAAGAGACTGAAATGAACAATGACAGTTTTGTTTGCCCGAAGAAAACGTACGGTGCTACCATTCAAAATGATGAAGTACAACGAAAAGGATTGCAAAAGCAAAAGGGAGTGACCAAAGATGTAGAAGAACAGACTTCCTACCAGTATGAAAATGGAAAGTTTCAAGATTCATCATGAATTCAACCATGTATGATTTGTGTTAATGTTTCCATCCCTGTGCAAACTCAAACGACATCTATATTTACTTAGTTGTCATTTTAGTGGAGGGTCATGCCAAATGGCTACAAGTCATTTTCAACTTGTATTACAACACATGGGTTAATTAGGAACAAAACTTGGATGTGTAGTTTCCCTTTGTTCAGCCATGGATTCAATCTCCTCTATAAGAAGACCTCAGTCCTTCATATCATACAGATCCTTGCTAGCATTATTAATGAGGTTCTGTACTATGTCACTCGTTACCAATGTAAGCATGGTTTCAGATCCAACACTTACTTCCCAACAAATATTTCTGCTGTGTTCATCCCCACAGTGTCATGAAACAGAGAATGTATTGTAGTGGAGAGATGATGCAGTGTTTAACCAAAGATGACATTGGTGACAATGGATGTTATTCACTAGATACACCGTTGATAAGTCCACTGGTTAATTTTTTTCCAAAGGTCTACTGGTGTTGGGCTATTATTTGAAGAGGGATAACTTCAGCCATTTCTCAACTTAGTAGCACGTAGAGAGAATACATGCTTTAAAAATGTTGTACATATGCAATGATTGTAGTTATGTCTTTAATCCCACAACTTTGGCGTTGTAGCTTTGTTTGTTAAAATATTTAAACCCCACCTTTCTGTTAAAAATTTCCTCAAGATGGCTAACAATACAAAATCAAAATAGAATAAGATTAGGTAAAGTTAAAGGTTCCCCTTGACATTTTTTAGTCCAGTTGTGTCCGACTCTAGAGGGCGACGCTCATCCTGCTTTTCAAGCAATAGAGCCAGCGCCTGTCCGAAGACAGTTTCCGTTGTCACATGGCCAGTGTGACTAGGGAACGCCGTTTTACCTTCCCACCGAGATGGTACCTATTTATCTACTCGCATTTACATGCTTTCGAACTGCTAGGTTGGCAAGGAGCTGGGACAAAGCGACGGGAGCTCACTCCATTGCATGGATTCGATCTTATGACTGCTGGTCTTCTGACCCTACAGCACAGGCTTCTGTGGTTTAGCCCAGAGCACCACCACATCCCTTAATCAGAATAAGATTAAAGCACTGCAAAAGAGAGAGAGAGAGAGAGAGAGAGAGAGAGAGAGAGAGAACAATAGTTAACGTCTTTGTCAGCAGTTTCCCTAAGCAATATTGAGGGCAACTTCTTCTTAGTTTTTACTGTGTGCAGAGCAAAAGTCATGGAAGTAGCTATAACTGTTTGGTGACATGCTAGTTGTGTGACAGGTTGCATGACCAGGCATGTGGCTGACATCTGGCCAAATAGCCATTGTCATTTGTGACTGTAACACCATGCATGAAAAAAAATCCAAGAAGATACTGTCCTCAATCTTTATTCATTCTCAAAACCCCTTGAAAAAAGTTTGGGTGAGTGGGGGGTTCACCAGCTACTGAAAGGAAAATAATTAAAGGTCTTGCTTGACAACGTCTTCCTTAGGGCCATGCCTAAAGAGACCCTTTTATATCACTGCTCACCATATTTCAGGTGGTGAGTAAATAAAGAATAGGGCCTCTTCCATTGACCAGAGTCCTTAGGTAGGTTCACAAGTATAGAGCAGGTCCTTATATGATATGAGATTATTTGGTTTGGGGACAGCTAGAGTTTAGTTTCTGGAGAGTGGAAGGAAAATAGGCCATTTGAGGCACAGTGGTGTTCTTTCTTTCTGAATTCTGTTTTTTTACACTTTCTTGTAAACTGAAGGTCCAGCCTAATAAAGATTAGAACTGTGAAAACACTATCTGAATTATCCCTCTGTATAAGAGAACAGCTAAGATCTGGTTCAGCGTTCACATGCTTTCAAAAGGTTTGTGTACTGTAATTGATGTTCTCATAGCATGGATCCTATAGATGTCATGAGAAGAAAGAGAAGTTATTTTAAAAGCAATTTTATTTCCTATTAAAGCTCTTACAATAATTTATTTGCACCCAACAATATGTTCAATAGTATAAAAGTCTATTTAGACCTTTCCCTGCAGTCTAAGATAGCTATATGGCAAACATGCTGTATCAATGCTAAATTGCTAATGCGAGCACACAGTGTTCTCCAACTGAGAAATTTCAATAAACAATAGGTTTGTTTTCACATTATCAATGTCTTAGTAAAATTCAGGTAAAACTATTTTGCTCGATTGTAAATTTTATTGCATCAGTTGTTTCATCGTGACAGAGGTAGACAGCTGATCTGCATAATTACTTTAAGGACTTTATCCCAGCAAGAGGCAACAGGAATGATGGAAATTAGAGCAAGCTACATTGTTGGTTGTTGGTCCAGTTTTGTGGGGATAAAGAAGTGAAAGATGGCACAGCATTTTGTGCATTAATAACCTTTTTTTGGGGGGGGGGCATGGCCCTGGAACCTGAGGTCTTCTCAGATTTCAGGACCCCTTGTCATGCAAGGATATAACACAAAAAGATATCTTTCAGAAATTTTTCACATTTTTCAGTCTGTGGCTCCCATATGGTTCCCATTGAGAATGGCTGGACTAAGAGATCTGATTTTCAAAAAATTTAAATGCAGTATTCCTAACACATAACGAATATTTTAACTAATATTTCTGCCTTCTTGAAAACACTTAGAAGAATGTCAGAACAGTAACTATTGTTCAGCTGATAGCAAGGGCTAAGCCCTTATTAAATTGGTCTTGAAGTTGGCTGTGGAAATCTACTCTGTTTTCATTAACTAGAACATTTCTGTCTCTTCGTCCTTGAAGTGTTTATATTATTCAGCATATGGTGTGTTTTGATGTTTTCCTTATCTGCCGGATTACGAGAAGTTTGAAGTACCCTTAATAGAAACATCCTTATAATTATTTAGTTTTTCCACACATGCATGTTTTTGGAACAACAGACGTGATCTTTCATCACCCATAAAAATTTGTAATGAAGCTGCTTTGGTTCTGAAATAGCTAAATGTTGGCTACTCTAATTGGTCTAATTAGAGTTCGTTTATTTATATATTATCCTTTATCCCAGTGGATTGAGATTGTTTCAATGTCTTTTTCACTAGTGCCCTGAGAAACATAGATGTTTCAGTCACAGATCTCCAACCTCCTATTTACAGTATATCCCTTTTAAAAGTAGCAGTAGGAGAGGAATGGACTGGAAAAGGCTGGGAGATGAAGGATTAACCTTTTTTCTCACCATTCCACAAGCTGTTATTTGTCCCATTTGAGAAAATGTACAGAAGAAAAAGCTAAGGAGAATAAGAATGGGAAAGGTAGAGGGGCATTAAAGGCAGAGAAATGGTCTGGATTTCCCAAGTTACGGCCATAAGAATTGCTGTGCTGTATCATATCAAAGGCCTATCCATCCAAAATTCTGTTCACACAGCAGCCAACCAATTGGGTATAGGAAGCCAGACAGCAGCTGTATTCTCCGTCTTGTATTCCCTTCTGCTTTCCAACTGGTATTGAGAGTTAGACTGTACTGTATTTGATATGGGAATGGTAGAGATGATGTATCCATCCTGCCTAATTCCTGTAAAAATGTTTCTAAAAATACCCTTAAAAGGGGCAGTACAGAAGGAGAATTCAAGGAAACAAAAGGAGATACAGATGAATTAGAGAGATTGTTTAATATGGAAGGTTAAATCACCAAGGAGCAAAATGGTGATGAAACATGGTTTGACAGACATCTTACCCTTTCTCTCATTCTTGTTTCCCCCGCACCTCTCTTTTTGAAGCAATGGTCTATGGTATGTGGTCAAAGGTTGACATTTGCAGATTTGGAGAGGAACAGAAAGTAACATTAACATCTTGTGTAGAAACGGTATGTGTGAAAAAGAGAGACAGCTAAAAAGGCCACCAGCAATGATGGAAAGGTCCAGGGTAAAATGGGGAGAGTGAAATCCAAGATTCAATGAAGGCAGGTGGCTGTTAGGGTTAAAACAGGTCCATGGGTCATGTCTTGTTTGGCAATGAAGTAGCACTTCCACTGGCATCAGAAAACAATGGACAGAGGAGGCTATGAGGTGCGATGAAGCTAGAGGGAGAGGGAAAATAGTTATCCATAGACCTTGGGGGGATCCTTTTTCTATAGATGTGCTAGGTGCCTAGAATAGAGTGGGCAACACAGAAGTAAACTGTGGTTTAAGCTTACACTCTTTTTTTAATGATTTATTGCCACAGGGAATAGAAGAATAAGGTGAGTTTAAAAGCTCACAGAAACACTGCTGGCATTTACTATGCTAACTAAGAGCTTTCCTAACAGCTTCCCACAGACTTAACAGTACAAACTGACTCTGGCTAAGGGCCTGTCCAGACAGGTATATAGATTACTGTTTGCACTGCTGTTGGTCTGAACTAAATTACAGTGTCCACATGTGTTTCTACTTAGATCAATCCATCTTGTCCCTTTAAGAGCTGCCCCACTCTCGCACAGTACTAGGGACTTCTCCCTTCCTTCCTTCTTTCCTTTCTTCTTGTATGTTTTAGCGTGCTCCTAATTATCTCATTTCGTAGCCTGCACAGATGGTTGTTTTGCACCCCAAGGGAGCTGTGGGAAGCATTGAGGTGACACCCCTTTGATGTATTATGTGGGTTGTGCCATTAAAAAGGAGGACGGAGAAACTCTTTCCTCTCTTTTTTATCTTATTTTTAAAATATTTATCTAACTGACACAGTGCAGTTCTAATATCATGCTTGGTTGAAGCATTGCTGTTTCAATATGCTAGTTACTTTATTTAACAACAACAAAAAGGAAAGTCACTGCATCCCACTGAATGATGGCCACAAGAAAATGCAAGGAAGTGGGCTATGTCAACTCCATGGTGTAGTGTTCTCCCTATTATGTTAAATAGTTATGCATTATTCATGTTGTAGGCTAATATTGCTGAGAGGCGGAGCCGAGAGAGATGTAAAAAGAGGCGGGGTCAGACAGAGTCAGGAGAGAGATCAGAGTGGAGAGATAGAGTGTGGTATTTGGGAGATCTGAGGTGTGATTAGAGTGAAGAATGAATAAGAACTGTGATAACCAATAGAAGGTTGAGATTGATGATCAATAAACCTGTAGAAGTTACCTGTGATTAATAATCAAACATCTGTGATCAATAAACAAGTTTTATTTAAAAGACAGGGAAGTTTGGACTTGCATCTTCATCCTTTATAATGCTAATTTAGTGATCAACTGGTGGCAGCGGGTAAAAAGGAGTATTGATTTGCCTTCGTGTGCTCTGTGTTTGGGGAGTCAGGCAGGGGCCATGAGGGGCGAACGCCACACATGGACTCCACCTTCACAAGGCAGGGTAGCCCCAGCAGAGTCCTGGTTGAGGAGAAATGTGGGGAAAAGCGAAGGTTTCCTTTCAGTCTCCCCAACCTTCATTCCAATGTTTTCTGCACACGTCACCGCTGTCCTCAGCTGCTGTTGATGCTCCTTCCTTACTCATAAGTAAACCAGGTACATAAGAACACAAAAAGAGCCTTGCTGGATCAGGTCAAGAGCCCATCTAGTCCAGCTGCCTGTATCTCACAGTGGCCCCACCAGATGTCTCTGAGAGCGCACGCGACAACTAGAAACCTGTCTCCTGATGCCACTCCCCTGCATCTGGGATTTTGAGGTACCTTCCTTCTAAGACTGGAGATTATACATCCCCATCATGGCTTGTAACCTGCCATGGACTTTTCCTCCAAGAATCTGTCCAATCCC